ACACCTACTGTCTGTGACTTCCATTTGGCAAGAAGATATAAACACCTGAGGACAGGTGAGCAACTGGTAACAGGTGAACACTGCGTCCAGCTGTAACAGAAGACTTGTTTTTACCAAATTATTTAAAGAGGAACCAAACTCCAGACCTCAGCAAGACCGTCTGCTCCAAACTGTGAATAACAGTAATATAATATAATCTTTTTTTAAATTGCACATCGACCTCTTCAAGTAACAAATTACATTAGACCGACGTCACTCGTCTCTTTTATACAGCCTGTTCAAGGTGGGAATATCACGCCATTATTCCACCTGCCTGTATGAAAGGTACGATCACAGGTGTCTCACCTTCAACCCACAGAGGGAGGGAGTGACAGCACCACAATGATGTTGGTGTGAAAGGGACAGCTGGCAGGACGGGACAGGTGTGACGTTTTGATGTCCTGTTATGTGTGTGACCCACCGCAGGAGATTTAAAAAGCAGCTAGCAGCAGTTAGCAGCTAACTCAAACAGTGAGATCCAGGAGCTCCTTACCCTCCGAGCAGAAGACGAGATCAGCCGCCATATAACATGGACACTAAATGATTGTTACTGACAACATCACACACTGGAGCGATGTGATGCCGCTGCTGTTTGGTTTTGTGTAAAAAACAACGGCGGTATTGTTGTGACCTGAAACGTCTGGTTTTTACTGCAGCTTTTCTAAAAGAAGATGATGTGTGTTTACAGGTGTTTTTATTTTTGCACCTAAATTGTGGGAACAAATAAAATTGAAAAAATAGTTAATGACTGACATGTTAATGGTAGCGGTGTGATGCTAACAGTTAGCCCTGTCACCTCGTGTGTGACTCTATCGCCATCACAGACCTCTGGTCCTGCAGCAGTCTTATGATCAGCAGAGAATCAATACTCTGCACTCCACTCGTACGGCAGTGATGACTGACATCAGGACGGTGTCATCATGGAAACGTAGCGCCCACCCTCCAGTTCCCCCCTCATTAACACCGTTAGCTGTCGGCACTGTTGTTGTTTGTTTAGTGCTGTTTATGGAGTTAGCACCGTTAGCTACTTGCTGCTGGCTCAGCCATCTCCATGTTGAGAACCGTGTGCAGTCAACTTGTACGCTCTGAATTTCTCACTGAGGGACTGTTTGTGTATGTGAAGGAGGAGGGGGCAGCATGTCAAATCATTATTCAAGCACTGGGGAGGGACTTAGGTGTTTTATTTCGGTTTGGGGGGAGGGGCATACAAATTCAAAAGGTTGTATTTTGTATTTATGGTACTGGTAAAGAAAAAATTACCGCGAGTTTGGAGGGCATGTTTTCTTTAAAAAAACACCAAAATCATTTTTCATTTATCAGCCAGAAACTGTAGAAACAGAAACTATCACTGGATTTTCAAATTTCCGACGGTCCTTGGACTCATCACGTGTGACAATCGCTTCTGCCAGAAAAAAATAATCAGATTTTGAAATAGTGATTTTTTTAATTTATTTATTTATTTATTTTTTTTTAACCAAAATCACTTTATTCTGCATCTCATTTAAAATCTGGCCAAAAATAACCCGTCTGCATGACAAGTAAAAAACTGAGGCCTTTTTCAAATCCACCATTTTATCTTCAACTTTAACTTTCAAACATCAAAGCTTTAAAAATCTAATAACTCATTCATGGTGCAGGAGTCATGGATTGTCCTCCAGTCACTCAGGGGGGGTGAAGAAAAAATATTTGGAGCTTCAGAGAGGGTCAAAATAAAATAATAAAATAAAATGAAGTGACCCCCTCTGATAAGTTAAGAACAGTCCCTAAGTCCTACTTTGAGTGAGGTTACATTTTGAACGCAGGACCTGTTCTTGTACTGGAGTCTCTTCAGACTGTGATATTTGCACTTTTCCTTCAGTAAAGGATCTCAGTACTACCTCCAGCGCCAGGACTCAACATGAAGAAAGAAGTTTTCAGGTCTTTGGAGGTTTTTGGTTCCTCTTTAAAGAGAAAAGCCCTTCAGGGATGAATGTTCACAGTCCAGGATGTTTGTACGGTGGCTCAGACAGAACAAAAAGCACAGGGCCCGTATTGATCACGCTGAGTTATTCTATGGGTCCAAACAAACGACTTCAGAGTCATTCATCAAACTTCCTGCTCTCACTTTGTATTTTGAGCTTGAAATATGAAAACATGGTGAAATTAAAAATGCAGCGGCAGGTTTTATGTGTGCAGGTAAATAAACACCTCAGGTGACTTACTGCAGTTATACAGAGGTGAAGCCCCTCCCCTTCAGGTGTCCCCAGTGGGACCTGACTTTGGAAATTAATATGTGAAGAGATAAATAATATTTTGATCCTGTTTGAGTTACACAGATAATGCACGTGAATTTAAAAGATAATAATTCAAGTCGCAGTTTGTCGTCGAAGCTTTTAGTTAAACGTCACTAAAAGTTCTGCAAACATGGTGGTACTAGTTTTCCTCCAGTACTGAAGGTACTGAAGATGAACTTCTTCTGGTCTTGAGTGTTGTAGTCTGATGTTACATGTCAGAGGAAGAAACAAAAAGCCGACCAGCACAGAGGAACGACAACAACATGTCACTGTACTCGAGGCTCTGGGGCTGTGTGAGGCACTGATCCACAGTCAGTGTGTGACCTACAGCAGGTGTCAGTCTGCAGTCTGGAGTCTGACATCGTAGCTCAGCAATGTCCTGCAGTGGGCGGAGTCAGCAACAAAATCTGTTTTAGACGCCTAAAAGAACCATCAGTTTAAGTGCACGATGTATTTAGAATATTTTCACTGCTTCAGCTTCATGTCAGACTGACTGTTTCAATGGGGAAACTGTTAAATGCTTCAGTTCCCATCTCTGCTCTCGTCACAGCCAGACTCCCCTGAGAAAACCAGTGATTTAACACCAGTGAACACAGGAGCTGCTGGTCGACTGCTGCCTCCATCAGTCAGTGTGTTTGTGTCACTGTGTGACTTTGGTGAATCTGCATTAACCCCTTAAACACCAAAGTCACACAGTGACACAAACACACTGACTGATGGAGGCAGCAGTCGACCAGCAGGCTGGAATTGAACCCACAGCTGTTGTACATGGGTCACCTGCTCCACCTGCTTTGTTCATGTTTTTTTCACTGCTGTTGGTGTCCACTATAAAGTGCTGTCATGGTGGCGTGACTGGTGACCGCAGTATAAATACGTCACTCTGACAGTTTTCAGTCAGTTAGGACTGATTCCCACTGATTCATAAATCTGTGACCGTCACCCTCTGTGAACTCAGCAGGATGTTTGCTTCTGTCCTGTTTGGTCCGTCCTGGCCACCGTACATTTGTGTGTCTTTCAGAGTGGCATCAGATTATTATCATTAATTTCTTTCCAGAGACGTCTGCACCTTGTTTTGGATCATTTTGGAAGCCCCTGTACAGAGAGAGGTAGAACGTGTGGTTTCAGATCAGATGGTTTAATTTAAGGTCAAAGGTCAAATTTGGTGTTTTTTTGGGGAGGTCTGATCATCGACTGTGTCTCTGGTCGAGCGCTAAAGATGTCAGTATTAACCTAAAACCAAACTATGTACAGTGCAAACAGGAGATCATTATCATCACCATCACTGCTGATAAAAGTGTAAACAACACTGCGTTTTACTAGAAGCTCACGAACACAACACGTCACTGAACTACACAGTGGGTCTATCTACTCAACAGCTGCAGTCAACAGTAAAGAGTAGAAAGGGTTAAAAAAGTCAAAGCAAATTGTCTCTTCAGACCGAGTCCGTCTGAGGCGGCGCCACATGCTCCGACACTGAAAGAGACGCAAAAGAAGAAGAAGAAGAGAAAGAAGAAGAATAAGAAGAGAAAGAAGAAGAAGAAGAAGAGAAAGAAGAAGAAGAAGAAGAAGAAGAGAAAGAAGAAGAGAAAGAAGAAGAAGAAGAAGAGAAAGAAGAAGAAGAAGAAGAAGAAGAGAAACCCGACAGAGGAAGAAGCTGCTCTTTGTCTCTTTGCCTTCACATCAGAGTGTCCACGCACAGCTGTTCAATAAAGTTTAATAAAATACAATCAATCAGCTCCGCCCTGAGCGTCCGAGGAAAAAGTCACCTTCTGTACCAAAGAAGAAAAATCAGTGTTTGTCCCAGATCAGAATATTGAGGAATAAATTCTCTTCAGTGTTTCTGTTTGACAGAAAGATGTTCATGAAGTGGAGTGTCAGAATTAGGAACTATTTCTAGACGAACAGCAGTGTATCCATCCGCCCAGTGCCTGTTTTAACTGTTTTACATGCAGATGAAACAACACGTTGAGTTTCAGAGCTGTTTGTAGGTGACAGAGCCAGGCTAACTGTTTCCCTCCGCCTCCAGTCTTTATGCTAAGCTAGCTTAACCCCATCCTGACCATTCATTCATTCATGCTCTGCCAGCACCATCTTGTTGGGGGTCATGCATGAAACCCACGCTGACACAGGGAGAACATGCAAACGCCACACTGAAGGGCTCCAGCTGGCCGGCCGGTTCAAACCTGGACCCCTTTTACTGTGAGGCGACAGTGCTAACCACTGCACCACGGCGCCGCCCTTCCATCTGAACATCTCACTGTCAAAGAACGTGAAAAAAGTGGCAGTAAACTACAAACCAAACTGATTTCTGGTCTGTTTTCAGGGCTGAACTGCAAGTTTGTGACCAATGTGAAGCTCGTCTCGTCTCTATAATCCATGGATGTGTAAAGAGACCTGGAAACAGCGTTGGAGGCGGGGCCTTGTGCATTCCTATGAAAGCTGTTTAGTGGCGCATTAAAAGCCAAAAAAAAGTTATATTTCGGCCAATTGGCTAACTTCCTGTTTAGCGCTCTGCTAACTTGAATGGGTATAAAGCAATTTAAACACGCTGGAGGGATTACATATCTCGTCTGGTCTGGGAACACCTCGGGGTCCTCCAGGAGGAGCTGGAAAGTGTTGCCGGGGAGAGGGATGTCTGGGTGCTTTGCTTGGCCTGCTGTCCCCGAGACCCGGCCCCGGATAAGCGGATGAAAATGGATGGATGGATGGATGGATGAATCCAAGTTGTGAGGATTGTTTTAACAGGATAAAGTGGTGCTATGTTGGTGTGCTGCAAAACAAGTGTTGTAACTCTGTCTGTCGGAGCTCGATCAATGAATGAATGATTCATGACTGATTGGTTATTTGAAGCCTAATTTTTAAACAAGTAATATTCTTACTGGTTCAGATGAACCATTTGACTGTATTTCCTGATCTTTGCTGAGCAACAGTTTTGTGTGAAACGAATAAAAGGCCTGTCCCAAACACAGGCCTGTTGACTTCAGGGATTTAAGCAAATAATAGCGCGGCGCGTCTAATCAAAGTTTTACGGTATTTAGAATGGACACAATTATCAGAATAAAGCTGCGGTTGAAAGACACCCTAATTATCCTGTAACAGCAGGTGTGAATGTGGTCGTCATGATTCAGATAAACGTACGAATCGACGCTTCAGTTTGGTCGCAAACATGCTAATTTATACATTTGTACTGTTACTGTGGTAAAAAGCAGCCAAACACAGCAAGAGACACGTTTTGCTGTGATGTGAGGAGTAGAGGACGACACTCTGTTCAGAACAAAGTCAATTAACTGTAGAGTTAAAAAATATTTGGGCATGAGTTTAGCGTGCAGGACGATGACGCATAAACCAACACACTGTTGGGAGAAATAAATTGGTACAGTAGACAATTATGTTGTCATGGCACAAAATGAAAGTCCTGTAAGAAGTCCTCTAGTGTGATGAAATGGACATGAAGAACCTGATAATGAGGATTATTCTGGTTATGATCATGTTCAGATATGGTGTTAATGTGAGCACAAGAAACCAGGTCATTCACAATCCCCGTATACTTCCTGGTTTCTCTCTGAGTGCTCCGGCTAACATGTTCAGTTTCTTATAAACACAATAAGGTGTTTAATGTTTAAGGACATAAATGTGTAACCCGATAATACACAGGTTATTCATAACCACGTAAACACACCCAGCTGTACCGTGATGGTTCATGAGAGGTCTGATTTAATCATTAGGAGGCGGAGTGTCAAATTAACCTGTCACACAAGTCAAAACTTTATCAATCCATCTTCAGAGAGCATGTGCTCGTGCTAGCACAGCCGCTCTACAAGCTTCTAATTTTGATGTTTTAAGTGCTTTTGTTTTAATATGTTTAATAAAATAGATGCAGGCATATTCTACAGCTGCAGAAACAGTGTTTTAATCATGTTTCAGGTCAACACAGGAACCCAGAAAGTTCTTTTGTTGACCCACAGTATGACCTAGCATGTTAGCTTAGAGATGCTAAAGTAGCGAGGGTTAGCAATAGAGTCAATGTCTGTTTTCATTGTTGTCTGTGGTTTGTGACATTAGATTATAACAATAAATTACACGTTAGGTGATAAAGACTGGTTTAAACCTTTAGATAATTACTTTTTATTTTTATAAGAGAAAATGTTTTGCGCCATAACTCTCCAGGCACGAGACGAACTGACCAGATGAAGAGACTGAATCTGATTATTAAATCTAATGTTAGAGACATAACACCACATCCATAAAAACATTAATGACGAAAAAAGGATGTTTTGCTCGCAGCTAGAAAAGAAGCATTTTGCTGATCTAAAAAGTATTTAATGAAAGGCAAAAAGAGTTTGTTTTTTGTGGAAGATGCTGTTTTGTGCAAAAATGGGTAAATATGTCAAATGACTTTTTAATCAGTAGGAAGGGGCGTATGGTTTTATTTTTGGTTAGGGGAGGGGCATACAGATTTAAATTGGAGTATTTTCTATTTAATTTACCGCTGAATTTTAAAGAAAAGATGCCTTCCAAACCTGCCCACAGGCCGGTTTATATTACACATACTAACCAGCATGCACGACGAGAGTGAAAATCCGAGGCTTTTTTCAATTCCATGATTTTGTCTTCAACTTTCAACTTGCAAACATCGAAGAGGAAGTTCAAGGAAAAATATCTGTAGCTTTGGAGAGGGACAAAAAACTAAAGCAAACAAACGAACATCCCAGCCACCCCCTCCTCTGATAGATTAAGAACAGTCCCTAGGAAAATCTTAATGATGTTGAAATGATTTGTACATATAAAGATCTGTGAAGGGGATCATCTGAACATACCTGTGTTTTTTTTCTCACCACAGTAACGAGAACAGAGCAGATTAAATAAAGGTTAAATCCTGACGTGGGACAAACACTCTTTGTTTTTCAGATCCTGAATCGTCTCCAGCCGTCACACTGGAAACCAGAGGTGCCGTCCAGGCTGCAGAAACACCCAAAACAAACCCTCAGTGAGTATGCAGCTGTTAGCATGTTAGCGTAGCAGCAAAGCTACAGACATGGAAGCTAGACGTTACGTGTTAGTTTGTTTCGTTTGGTCCCGATAAATGATGTCAGACGTTTGTAAAGAATCGAAGGCTAAACCTCAATATTTAAGTGGCTGTGAGAAACCGAAGCAGAGTGGAGCGTCTCTGCTCTGTTGGTCAGGTGATCACTGGCAGTGGGCGGTCTTACTTGCAGGCTCCACCCCCGGTGTAAAGCCGTTGCTGAGGCTGTTGGGACTTGGAGGCGTGGCCACCGCGACCCTGGAGGTGGGCTCGACCCTGGAGGTGGGCTCTACCACAGAGCAGCTCTTCTGCGGCAGTCGGGGTTGGACCGGCATTGTTTTGGGAACGACGGACGCCTGTCGGAGCCCATCGGCCCGCAGCGGCGGTCTGGTGGGGGCAGGGCCTGTGGGCGTGACGTCAGAGCTGGGTGGTTTGGGGCTGCGTGGAGGGGAGGGGTGGACGGCACTGCGGTCGGCGGGCTTTGATTGGTCCTCCTGCTGCTGACCTGGGGGCAGGGCCTCTTTGTCTGCGGGGATGGGGCTTGTCGACTCAGGAGGCGGGTCCTGCTGCATGCTGCTCTGCCTGGAAGCACCTGAGCCTGGAATCTCACAGCTGTCGGTGCGACGCCGTGAGCCCTCGTGCATCCGACTGGTGGCTACGACGGCCTTCATGGCAGCCTGAGGACATATTCAGAGACATGTCCCTCAGTGTCCCCTCAGATAAAACCTGTACAGGTGTCTCTAACATTTCTAAAATCAGAGTCAAACGCTAACCGCCCTCCTCACCTTAAGTTTGCGTCGAGCGTTGAACTCCTGTAGTTTCCTCTGGGCGGTGTCCATGTGGGAGAAGCGTGCAGCTTTGCCCAGCACCCAGGGGTGCTGCAGGGCCTCCCGGACACTGAGGCGTTTGTGAGGGTCGAGGACAATCAGCTTACTGACCTGCAAACAGTTAAACAGAGACAAGTCCAGGTTCAGACCACCTCAAGTATCAACACAGTCAAGACAAGTGACTGGTGACTCCACCCACCAGCCCACCCTGTGGTTGTATGACTCCACCCACCAGCCCACCCTGTGGTTGTATGACTCCGCCCACCAGTCCACCCTGTGGTTGTATGACTCCACCCACCAGTCCACCCTGTGGTTGTATGACTCCGCCCACCAGTCCACCCTGTGGCTGTATGACTCCGCCCACCAGTCCACCCTGTGGTTGTATGACTCCGCCCACCAGTCCAGTGTCTCTGACAGTCTCCATCCATGTCAGTGAAAACATGGATGCTTCACACACAGAAGATCTATACAATCAGCACAGTTTCAAGATTAGAGTCACCAATTCAGTATCTGACCAAATGTCTCCCCTTCTGTTCCTGAGATATGACGTTAAGACATGATGATGTCACAGTCAAGCTGACCTTTGACCTTTTGACCTTCATTATTTTGTCCTGTTAGACATTTGTGTCAAGTTTGGTCAGAATTAGTGGATGAATTCTTCAGTTATGGCTAAAAGCATGTTTTGTGAGGTCACACTGACCTTTGACCTTTGACCACCAAAATCTGATCATAATGTTCATGAGAATGAGATGGAAACAAGGTCACAGTTAACTTGACGTTTAACCACCAAAAATCAACCAGTTCATCGTTGAATTTTAATGGACGTTTGTACCAAATTTGAGAAAATTCCCTCAAGGCCGTCTTGAGAAATTGGGTCTACAAGCATGAGACGGTATGCTCACAGTGACCTTGACCTTTGACCACCAAAATCTAATCAGTTCATCTTTGAGGTCAGATGGACGTTTGTGCCAAATCTGAAGAAATTCCCTGAAGATGTTTTGAGCTATCGCGGTCATTGGAATGGGATGAACGGACAGACAGATGGACAATCCAGGAACATAATGCCTCCGGCCAGTGCAGAGACATAACAAGTCAATGAAGACACGTCCTAGTCAAGTAATCTGAGTCTTGATTGATTAGTAATTTTAAACGAATCCAAGTCTGAAGAAATTCCAAAAAAGGTTGGAGTTAAAGGTGGTGGAGTTTTATTATAAACAAACATGACGGATTGATACGTATTGATCAAGTGAAGCTGAATGCGTTTAGCTTGATGTCAGGACTGGTGCAGGAACTCACCAGATCCTTGGCGTTGAGGGAGACGTCGTCCCACCACGGAGACACAAACTCATAGTCGCAGTTGAGGATGCGGCTGTACATGTACTGATCCCCCCTCGGGTCAAAGAAGGGCTCGAACCCACAGAGTCTGGGGGACAGGACACAGTCAGTGGCACAGGTACCAGACTTCATAATATGGCTGCTAATCAGCTGGTCATTACATCACAAGCTCTTTGTCTCAGACACTGACACAAACCGTAAATGTCACAACGTCTTCTTATGTTTTCATGTTAGACGATCAATGAATGAAAATGTTTCAACAAATTGTCTGTTGACGGAGCAGAGCAGCCGAGTCATCACCATCAGACTCAGTTAAAGACACCATGAACACACCCAGTTAATGTCTGAGCACAACACATAAACAGGAAGCAGTGTTTCACATGATGTCATCGCTGTTATGAGACAGACGGACGTAATCTATACGGACAGGAGTGAGTCAATAATCAATTCACTGTGTGTGTGTGTGTGTGTGTGTGTGTGGACCTCAGACTGGTAGCGAGGTGTGAAAGGACTCACAGGATGTAGAGGATGACGCCCACTGACCACATGTCCACCTCAGGGCCGTAAGCATTTCCCCGCAGGATCTCTGGAGCTGCAGGCAGAGGAGCCTGTTAGCCACCAGATGGCTGACAGAATGGCTCTAACTGAGAGTAATGTGAAATCCCACAGAGCAGTGAATGCATCACTGCCTGCTGCCGGACATCACAGCAATGCAGGTCATTAAACACATCTAACACTTGTACTGCTACACCATCTACTTCTGCTACACCATCTACTACTGCTAATACTATACCATTGACTGCTGTAGTAGCATAGTAGTAGATGGTGTACTAGCAGTGGTAGATGGTGTAGAGGTAATAGACGGTGTAGTAGTAATAATAAATGGGTATAGTCACAGTGGTAGATGGTGTAGAGGTAATAGACGGTGTAGTAGTAATAATAAATGGGTATAGTCACAGTGGTAGATGGCGTAGTAGCAGTAGATGGTGTAGTAGTAGTAGTAGATGGTGTAGAGGTAATAGACGGTGTAGTAGCAGTAGTAGATGGTGTTGTAGAAGATGGTGTAGTAGTAGATGGTGTAGAGGTAATAGACGGTGTAGTAGCAGTAGTAGATGGTGTAGAGGTAATAGACGGTGTAGTAGCAGTAGTAGATGGTGTTGTAGAAGATGGTGTAGTAGTAGATGGTGTAGAGGTAATAGACGGTGTAGTAGCAGTAGTAGATGGTGTAGAAGTAATAGACGGTGTAGTAGTAATACTAAATGGGTATAGTCACAGTGGTAGATGGTGTAGTAGTAGTAGATGGTGTAGTAGTAGTAGATGGTGTAGTAGCAGTAGTAGATAGTGTAGAGGTAATAGACGGTGTAGTAGTAGTAGTAGACGGTGTAGTAGTAGTAATAATAAATGGGTATAGTCACAGTGGTAGATGGTGTAGTAGTAGTAGATGGTGTAGTAGTAGATGGTGTAGAGGTAGTAGACAGTGTAGTAGTAGTAGTAGTAGACGGTGTAGTAGTAATAATAAATGGGTATAGTCACAGTGGTAGATGGTGTAGTAGTAGTAGATGGTGTAGTAGTAGATGGTGTAGAGGTAGTAGACAGTGTAGTAGTAGTAGTAGATGGTGTAGTAGTAGTAGATGGTGTAGTAGTAGTAGATGGTGTAGTAGCAGTAGTAGATAGTGTAGAGGTAATAGACGGTGTAGTAGTAATAATAAATGGGTATAGTCACAGTGGTAGATGGCGTAGTAGTAGTAGATGGTGTAGTAGTAGATGGTGTAGAGGTAGTAGTAGTAGTAGACGGTGTAGTAGTAGTAGTAGACGGTGTAGTAGTAATAATAAATGGGTATAGTCACAGTGGTAGATGGTGTAGTAGTAATAATAAATGGGTATAGTCACAGTAGTAGATGGTGTAGTAGTAGTAGAAGATGGTGTAATCATAGTAGATGGTGTAGTAGCTACTACATCATCTTTTAGTACTGCTGTGAAACCATTGTTAGTGCAGCTACCACACCTTCTACTACAGCTACTACACCACACAGTACTCCGTCTACACCCTGAAGTCCTGCTGGTACAGTTTGGTCACAGTGTGGTGGAGGTGACACACTCACCGCAGTACCCTGGTGTACCACAGACGGTCTTCATGGTCACCTGATCATCGATGATTTTGGACAGACCGAAGTCGGCTGTAAGAGAGGAGAACGTTTCCTCGTTACAACTAAAGAATCAAATTTAACAAGTCTGAGGTAAAAACAAAAACATATGATTCACTGTTTCCTGTAAATGTTGAGGTTTGGATGTAAAAATCTGTTTTTCTGGCACTGAGGTGTTTGAGCTATTTCCTGGTTCTATTTAAAGTGAGAGGAGCAGGTGGAGGGTGGGGGCGGAGGAGAACGTTGCTTTCTGCAGGAGAGTCCCTGAACCAGAGGAAGGTGTTGGTGGAGGAGAGTGGAGGCTGAATGTGAGCCCCCTCCATCTGTAGCTGTGAGCCTTAGGCCCAGCAGCCATCTGGAGGCCGACTCACACTGATAACTGGACCAGATCATAAACCAGTCTGTCTGTTCTCTTTGTGCTCACAGTAAAGACCAGAACATGATGCTGCTTTCAGGTGCTGTCAGAACTTTCATCATTACAACTTCAGCTGCACAGACAGTGTAAGAAAGGAAGGAAAAATATGACAGATGGGATCTTATGTTTTTCCCGAAAAGCTGCAGTGGTGGAAAATACATTTACTCAAGTCCGACATGAAGGTAATTTGAAGGTACTTTTATTTCACTATTTCTTTTTTATGCTTCACTCAGTCCGTTTCCATGGACCGTGGTCCATCTAACTGGCCTACTGTCCTTGTCCCAGTATACAAGCACGGGAGGGGAATCCATTTATTGAGCCAAGTATGTGTGACTCCTCTACGATAGGTGTAGATATGCCCCCTTTCAGCTTGTTAGTATTGGACCTTTTTCCTGTTGACCTATTACGTCACAGACCAAACAATGGACAAACAAGTTAGCTACGGTTAGCTAGCTGCTAACTGCTACCATGGTGGACAACTTTACAGCTCTGTACATTTGGTTCGTCCAAAAAGTCACGGCTCTGGATGTAGATTTCTCCATGTTGTTACCGGCTTCTTCTTCTCTTACACATTTAATGCTATTGGACTTCCGGGTCAAAGCCCGGGGCGGAAACTGTGGAGCATGCTCAGAGCGCCTTGGAATATTACTTTAAAAAATGCTTTCAAACAAACATTTCAATACATCTTCCTCCATCTGTTTGTAAGTTACAGGAACATTCCAGTATTATATTCATATTAATGTCGTCAGTGACTTCTGGTCGTGGTAACATCTCATTCAGCATCACAGCGGCCTCCTGCAGCTCTCCTGCTGCGCTCAGGAAGAGAATCACTTCCCAAATGCTGACTGCTTACACAACAGAGTGTCTTGATATTGTTTTTTTGTTGTGCAATTAGTCACAACTGGAGTGTCTTTATCATGGCAGTCGATGAAACAGCACAGTGGGAGCAGATCTTCTCTTGTTTGCTTCAAACAAGCACAAACGTGAAGTGCATCGAGATAAAGACTCGAACAGTCGGAGCGCACACACGAACAGGACGGCTCAGTCTGTCAGCTGCATGCAACTAACCACTGTCAACACAGGCAACTAACTACCGCAACTACAGCCACACCTGCAACTAGCTACTGTCAACACCAGCAACTAACCACTGTCAACACAGGCAACTAACTACCACAAGTACAGCTACATCAGCAACTAAGAAATGCAACACCTGCAACTAACTCCAGCAACAGCTGCAACTAACCACTGTCAACAGCGGCAACTAACCACCCTAACTACAGTTTGCACAGTCCCTTGTGATGATGGATTATGATCCCTGTCAGCGTCGCGTCTCCTGAGCGTCCCGCCGTGATGACAGACTAAATATCCACATTCTGATCAACTGGAGACAAAACTTTATTTTCTACCAGCCATAAACTCATGAATATAACGACTCATTCCTATTGGTTGAGAAATATAAACATAAAGCATAAAAACGCAGCTCACTCATTCACTGTCGTCTGTTTACAGGAAAGTCTCGCCCTCTCCAATATGGCGGCAACGTCAACATAGAATCCAAAACCAATGAGGGTTCTACGTTTCTATATCTGTGGTCCAATGGTCCACAAGGGAAACCTGTTAAGAACGTCTGTGTTGTTTCATCGGCCGAGGATCAATAAAGTTTTTTTTATTTCAGTTCTCATCAGATCTGAAGTCGTGTCAGAGGGTGAGGTGGTGTTTACTTACCGATCTTCAGCGGAGCGTCCAGCGACAGGTCGGCGTACAGCAGGTTCTCCGGTTTGAGGTCTCGATGCACAACCCCGTTCTCATGGAGATACTGAAACACACACACACACACACACACACACACACACAGTTTAAAAGCCACTCCACATTTATTGTAAGTGTTTTTACATATTGGACAAAACAAAGAGGAGTGAAGGAGACATGACAGGATTCAGGTGAGGTGAAGGTGGTGAAGGAGGGGGTGGCGGTAGCGCAGTGGATAGTGGAAGCCCGAAAAAAAATAATCTAAAAAAAAAAGAAGGAGGTGAAGGAGGTGAGGGTGGTGAGGGTGGTGAAGGAGGTGAAGGAGGTGAGGGTGGTGAAGGAGGTGAGGGTGATGAAGGAGGTGAAGGAGGTGAGGGTGGTGAAGGAGGTGAGGGAGGTGAGGGAGGTGAGGGTGGTGAAGGAGGTGAAGGAGGTGAAGGAGGTGAGGGTGGTGAAGGAGGTGAAGGAGGTGAGGGAGGTGAGGGAGGTGAGGGTGGTGAAGGAGGTGAAGGAGGTGAAGGAGGTGAGGGTGGTGAAGGAGGTGAAGGAGGTGAAGGAGGTGAGGGAGGTGAGGGTGGTGAAGGAGGTGAAGGAGGTGAGGGTGGTGAGGGTGGTGAAGGAGGTGAAGGAGGTGAGGG